GAAGGAGTGTCCAGTATCTCCTGCCAGCCCCCCATAGGGGTTGTTGGTGTGGAAGGACATTGTCAATTTTCAAACATCAGCTGATTATGTTGGCCTTACTAGAATCTTTTACCCTCATCTCACAAGTTTTCATTCTTCTCCAATTCTAGGATCACATAGTCTTTTTTCTTGTTTTAGTGGGCCAACTTGTAAAATGTTTTTAAAGATTATTAAGTAAGCTTTAATTGTAGATTCGAGTGAAAGGTTTCCTCTTAATGGTGCTTCAAGAATAAAAGAGAGAATTTTCCCATATATTATACATATATGCATATTGTAAATATTTGTATTTGTGTGTACCCATCTAAAAAGCCTGCCGGCAAATATGACTTGTCAACAGAACAACGTCTCTCAATTCAACATTCACAGGAGTACGATAATTTGGCACAGACTGTGCTTTATTTCCCCCGGCTAAATACCACTTGATTCTTAATATTGTTATTGTTTGTTACGGATTGTGTTGGTTTACATTCACAAATCTCTGTGATAATGGATGTTGACTGCCAGCGTTGATGTTTGTTAAGATGTTTTTTTGTCTGTTTTAATTTTTTTTGGGTGACAATTCTTTCATTCCTGTAAGTACTTTAATATTTAGTCAAATATTTGCTGTAAAAAAGTTTGATTTTTGTTTATGGTGCTTTGTTTGTTTTTATGCAACTTGTATTTTGTTGTAATTGTAATGTAATATAATTTGAATACTTCTTGTTGATCTGTGTGCTTTTATTTGTGAGCGTTGATTGGACATACAACATAATGTGCAACTGTCTTTCGGTACATGTATACAATGTATATACATATATGCATGGGCGAAATGTGTTGACAGATGGAATTTTATAAGAAGGAACAAATAAGTGGATGGATGTAAGGTGTGATAAATAGACAGGTAGACGAATGAGTCTTAGAGTTCTGTGTGTGTTGTGTTTGCTGTTTAGCGATATCAAGAACCACAGTCTCGACAATTTTGCACTTATTTTTTGCAGAATGTGGATCTAACTAAATTGAGAGTGAGTGGTTGGCAGGTGCCTCTGGTGTGGTTTGCTCCTTCTTCCCGTCATATCACATTGATAGTCCTTATCTCTCCTTCCTTTTTTTTGTGTGTGTTATGGGTGTTACTCTGCTCCAGTAACACACCTCATCTTTGGCACTCATATGACTTGTTTGTGTCGCAAGTGGTGTAAAACTCTTAGTAAAAGTAAAACAGGAGTATAGAAGCCCCCTCCTAGTGGAACATTCGTCTGATATAACGTACAACTGTGCAGCGTCTAGTGACCTGTTTGACAATCTGTTTCTTGTAAATTTCATGAAAATGCTGTACTCCTTTCCTGTCAAACATCTTATCGTCCTTACCTCTCCTCCTTGTTTTTTGTGTTTGTTACTCACTTGTAACGCCTCTAATCTTCAGCACTTGTATAACCTTATAGTGTTGCAAGTGCCATAAAACTCCTACTAAAACTAAAATGCCTAACCTAAGTTTGGGAAATTTAATATGTTCACATATAAATTTGTAATACTGTTTATCGCCTGCTTCTAGTGTCTGATATGTTATTCCTCTTTGGTTTTGATTCAATACCATATTACATGGATAATCAGTTATAAGTGATATAGGTCTTGTTCATTGTCGTTTTTATTTTTTTTTCTGGATGTCATGTCATGAACTGTTTGCCATCTGTTGATGGGATTTCCACTCTTATTTTTCAGGTTTTTAGTTCCCATTGGGACATTCTTATATATCAATGTTCTTTGATCATGTGTGTTCACAGTTCTCTTTGCAGACTTGAGAGCCTGTTTAGTGATATGCAGTATCTGTCAAAATTGGTGAAATAGTATAGGTTTAATGCCCCTTTCAACACTATTAGTATTAGGTTATTTAAGAGGCGGGACCTCCGAGTTTAACATCCATCTCTGAAACTGAAAGGACTGAGCTAAATGGGAAATTCGTGGAAAGTGCCTTTCCCAAGGACACAACGTCGGACCGAGCTGACCCTCGAACCTTCGAACACGCAATCTCACGATCATTTGTCTGGTAGTCTAACCATTAGGCCACCAACGCACCTGCAGTATCTGTGTTTTGCTTTACTCAGGGCAGATAGCAAGTCCGGACTAAGACTTTGGAATTCGCCTTTGGATTTTTAATGATTTCATCAATAAGATTGAACACAGATCAGCATATACACTGACTTTGGATGGATGCTGTGCATTCTTCTTGCATTGTTATGTGACTAGATCAAGACTTTCTTGTCCATCTGGCCTTGATATAGAATTATCTATGCCTTTAATTCCCAATTTTTTTTTCTTGTAATAATATTTTTGCCAAACTTTTTCTAATCTGATATTTGTGCACATAAATGTTACTTATCACTGGCGATATTGGTATCATCACTGAAGATAAACAAATTTATTTACAAGGCATAATTTCTTAAAATGTGTGAACTTTTATGAGTGTCTTTAATATTCTCATTGACTCAGATCAGTATGCAGACGTGTGTTTCCATACTAAGGACTGTGCTCTTATCAGATCCTGTAATTACATTCCAACGTGCAATTTGTACAGATCAAATTCTTTAGTTTTTTTTCTATTTCTTTTTCGAGTGAGATGCTGAGATGCGGTACCTTTCTTTGGAGGTTGTGGACCACAAGGTGGCTGATTTTTTTTTCTTTCTACTTGTTCCCCTTTTTTATATCTTTCATCAAAGGGATTATAACTCTTGTCAGATGGTTATTGCTCAGTTTTGTGCGGCCTCAAGGCAGAAGTTGCAGGAAGCTGCTGCATTGACTGGCTCGTCCCTTTCAGAATTTATGGTCTTTTTATATTTAACACTTGCGTATCGTCTTTGTTGATTGTGCAGACCGGTGTCTGTGGTGTAGCGTTTAGGCGCTATGCTATCACATACAGGAGACCTGAGTTCTGTTCCCCAATGGGAAGAATTCTAAAAAAAGTATGTTAGTCTTTTTTTTGGGATGTTGTATCCCTCTCAGCCGTGGTTGGTTGAAGACTGCCTCCTAAATGATCTACAAAATTGTATTGATGGGGACATGAAAAAAACCCGTACTGAAATAGAAAATTGTGTAGGTTTACATTTACATGACAGCTGATGTACAGGAAGGTTTCTCTTCTTTGTGTTCTAAACTAATCGAAATGCTCCTGCGCCGATGATGTTATGGTTAAGCTCTCTGCCTTTGCATCTACTGGGGGTTTATGTTGTCAACGTCGAGTATCTTCTAGGTCTCTGCCAATGTACTAGTCTATCTCACACTCAGCTCGGGTTGGCCCTGTCATGCAGGGTGGAAGCAGCCGACCTCCTAAATGATCTCATTTGTGTGGATGGGAGCTTAAAGCATTCACCACCATATCTACTACCATAGATTCCGCTCAAATTGATCACGAGTACTCCGAAAACAGTGGGAAACCAAGAGAAAATAAAATCCTTGATGCTTTTGTCTTCTATTTGAGCATCATCTCTAAACCGTAAACTCTGCTAAACCGAAGAAAATCCTGTGGTCTCGCAGATTTCGGTTCAAGCGGATCCCACTGTATATGTTAACGGAGATGATTATGTTTGTGTCCTTGCTGGGACGTGAATACACCATTGGTTGGTTCTGACAGGGAGGTTAGAACAGCCTGCTTCCCTGTTGTTTGAATATTGATGTAGGGATGTTATAAGGGAGTGGTTGGAGGGTGCCACTGGTACGTCCTCCTACTTCTTCACTTTCCCTCTTTTATTTCTGTTTGTCAGTCTTACTTTTCCCTAGCACTAAATGACCATTATTGCGTCGATGTGTTTCTCTTTACCCCAACAGCAAACCATATTTTTATCATTTTGTTTTGGCAATGTAGTCCTGGTCTGTTGCTTGAAACTTTCCCCCCCCCCATAAATCTTTGATTTTAACTTTGTGGACCAAAAGTTTGTGTAGCTGAGAAAATTTGTTACGGTCATATTCGCCCAATCAGATTGTTCAGAATGTAAATGATTCTTCAAGTCACGCCACAAATACCACGAAACATTTTGATTATTGGACTATGAGCTTTTGTGTCTTGACGGACAATAATACAGGCATTATGCATGGTCCAGCTTTACCTGGGTGAGTTGAAGAAGTAGATTGCCCAAGTACTACACCCCTCCCGTCAGATCTTGACTTCTTTGATATGCTCCATTAGAGACATGGTCAATGTGTTCGGAATCAAAGAAGATTTAAAGGTGTGTCTTAATATTTTACGTGCACGATCTATATGTAGGCTTGGGGATATTTTTTACGGTGGGGAATTAAAAAAAGAAATTCCTTGGTTGCGCCTTTACA